CGATCCCCAGTGGGGGGGGGGGTGCAGGAGGCAGCTGATCAATGACTCTTATCATTGATGTTTCTCTCTCTCTCTCTGAAATCAATACAGACATAAAAATAAAATGTTCTCAGTTCCTTGTCATGATGACACTGTATTTGGTAGGCTAACTAAGGCTTCTGGCTGGGGTTCTCAGGNCTCTTCTCTCTCTCTCTGAAATCAATACAGACATAAAAATAAAAAGAAATGTTCTCAGTTCCTTGTCATGGTGACACTGTATTTGGTAGGCTAACTAAGGCTTCTGGCTGGGGTTCTCAGGGCTTGGACTGATAATGTAAAGCCTGCCCAATATCTGCNGGATTGGACTGACTAATGTAAAGCCTGCCCAATATCTGCACCGTGCTAGGTGGCAGGGCAGTGGCACACGGGAGATGTCCGGCTCCTGAGTCTGATTCTCGTATCCCCCTGCTCCCAGGCCTCTCGGAAGAACGCCCATGACATACGGCGCGGCCACAATTTCCAGCTTCAGAACCAGCCCTTCTGGACTGGATGTCTCCTGTGGTCAAAGCCGTCGCTGCTGCTGAGCTGCTCCTGAGCTCTCCAGGTGAGGCTGTGATCTCGGACGGAGGGCCATGTTCTCACGACTTGGGAGCAGGCGCTGGGACAGCGCTCACAGAGGCTCATCTGGAACTAATGCGGCTCGGGGTTTGTAAAGCAACCGAGGCCCAGACACATGTTCTTCCAGCACCGCCGTGATGGGGTCACAGAGGCCTCTCTTTAGTGCTACAGCCTGCTTGTGAAAGTGCTTTGAGGAACCCAGATGCTCCCCACTAACTCTGGGGAAGCTCTAAAAGGTTGGCTTCCTTCACCACCTGTCTGCCCTGGCAGCCCCTCCTCTCCTCTCCAGTGACAGCGAGGCTCAGGGGACCAGACGCTGCAGAATGGGCTCCGGTCAGGAAAGCTGGAAAGTGCAGAAAGCCCCACTCACACAGAGGTGGTTGGCACTTTATCTTTTTCTAAGCACCTCAAGGAAAAATCCTTTATATAAGAATCAACAGAAGAAATTTTCTATGTATTTAAAAGAGTGGCAAACATACTGACAAAGAGAAATTTTGAGTTATAATAGTATTTTATCTAGTTTGTACATTAACATTTAAATATATTGTTCTAGGAACTGTCTAACAAAACTACGAAATAGAGAGAAAATCAGAACCCTAAATTCACGCTTCAGATTTTCATCGACAAGCCAGCTAACTGGAGCCGACGTTTGGTCATTACATTTTGTTTCTGAAAGAGAACCTTTGGTACCTTTCCAACGAGTAGCCACTATGTATTTGAAACATAAATGCTATAAAAATCAACCCCCCCAGCACCACGGCAGTTGCGATGGCAATAAGCGTGTGTCCTGGAAACGACAACGGTACTTCGTCGACATAAATCTGCAAGAGAAAAAGCAAAGTCTTTAAGCTTCTGAGTCTCATAATCCAAAACACTAAGCTTTATACGGTTCCCACAATGTGGGGACACTACTAATCATTTAGGAAAGTCCTGCCCAGACTTACTGAGCATCCACAAAGCTTGGAAACAGTCTCTGGGTGATTTGGTTAAGTAGCAGCTTGCACACAATAGAGAGGAAATAAGAAGTCTCCGTATTGTCCTGTGCCTTTCCCCGGTCTTGTCAGTGGCGGAGGCCGGCAGGCAGAACTCCCGGGGAGCAGGACAGCGTCCTGCAGGGGTTCCGGAGGAACGGGCCGGCTGTGGGAACGGGGCAGGGCGCGCCCAACTGCCTCAGGCGCCCCGTATCCTGAGCAGGATCTTGAAAAACAAGTGGGCTCACAGGAGACAAGGCGCAGGAGTGACACTCCAGGCGGAGGGCATAAGCCTGGGCTCTCTCAAGCTATCCTCTCTTCAGGAAATCCTCTATACAAGTGCTGACATAGGGAACTTGCTCTGTGTTCAAAATGGTTTCTCTGCCTGAATGTGTAATTCGTGAACAGGTTCCTAGAGGAGAGGGAGGATTATCGACAGAGAGGCACAGCGGTGTCCTTTCCTCTGAGACTTGGGCTAAGGATGGTGCCATTTATGTGAAACGTAGAGTGGGCGCATGTGGAAACCACCCGCTTCAAGTCCAGCGGCTTATGTCTTCTGGGTGAAGCAAGAAGCAAGATCATCTTTTGAGGTAGAAGAAAGTGGACTTGAATGGAAATAGGACAGTGGGGAACGTGGGAAAATGCTAATTCATAAGAAAAAGGATTGGTAAGGGTATAACTCAAGGTAAAGGTACCACCATCCTCCCAGTGACCCAAGGAGGTGCCTCTTTCCTCAGAAAGAGTCCCTATACGCCATCAGTTCTCCTACAGTCCCTTTCAGGGTCATCATTTCCAATCCACTTTCGATACTGCTGCTGAGAGCTTTATTACCTCACTTTGTATAAATAAGCTACTCTAATAGCCTCCTTTCCAAGCTGTCAACCCATATGGACATAATCACATTGCCAGAGTAATCTTAAATACCAGCCTGTCTATAAAGCACTTTGAAAGTGAGGCTGCTTTATGCAACTAAAGAATCTTGACCGTGTAGAGCTGGTACCAGAGGTAGGCGTTGGAAGCAACAGAATTGCAAAGGTAGATATGGCCAGCTGGTATGGAAGGCAGTGAGAAACCATTCTTTCCGATTTGGAAAGATATCCTCACGGTGGGGGATCAGCTGGTTTAACCATCTCCTGTTGTACTTCAGGGCTCAGATTATGTGTCCAGTGGTACTGGAGTTGTTGGGGATTTGATAGAAAAATGTTAGATACTGAATGTGATATACTACTTGTGGTCTGCATTGTATCATTTTTGAAAGATAACAAAAATCTTTCTTTTAAGCTGGATCATCAGAGGAAATCAGATAATTAGTTTTATTAAGAAAGATCTAGTCTGTTTGTGACCAGTGAGGGAGACAATTGTGTGCTACATGTGATTGCAAAAGTGAATTTTCTTTTCTGTGCCACAATCCATTGTAATTAAATCCTTTTTTCCCCCCTCAATCTCTCCGTTCTGCTTCTTCAGTGTTGGCTAAGTCCCCTCATGTCCCAACAGCTCTCGTGGTTGACAGCAGCTCCTGGAGCTACAAGCTTCCTAGTTCAATATCATTAGGAAAGAACAAGTCCATGTCCCAGCATTTTGAGGAAAAGTCCTGCGACTCCCTCTGATGGGGCTGCTGTAGATCATCAGCTAGTCCCTGAGCATCTTTTAAAAATGATGTTTAATAGCTTCTCATGGCTGAGAGGAATGTTTAAAAGTCCTCATTCTGACATTCAAGGTCTTCTACACTTTGACCTTACCTACCCACTTTCTTACCCATAACCTTACATTCCAGCCAAATGGATATAGACTATTCAAGAGGGAAGCTTTACGCTTTCCCATGTATGTGTCTGCTTCTGCTGTTCTCTCCACCTGGAATGCTTTCCTTGCCCATTTCTACCTAAAATGAAATTTTAGTCCCCTTACCAGATGATACAAAAATTTCACTTGCTCAATTAAGCCATCTGTGATATTTTAAGAGTAGGAATCTCTGTCACCTCTGAACTCTGTATTTTCCACATAAACTACTACCTCTAAAGTTCTTGAATAGAGTTTTTCTTCAGATGTTTCCCCTCCAATCTTCTTTGACTATCCAACTATTCTATGCCATGTCTAAAAAAAAGGTTAAACCCCAGAATCATAAAAGAGTATGTTTTAGACATACTGTCCCTCGACTGCCAAAATACTTCAATTTGTACTTCATAAATACAAAGAATTTACTTAAATAATCACAGTGCAATTTACAAAATCAAAAAATTAACACTGAGAAAATGCTATCATCTCGATTATCCCCAAAATGTCCAAGATCATGCTTTGCATTCCATTGTCTTANTACTGTCCCTCGACTGCCAAAATACTTCAATTTGTACTTCATAAACACAAATTGACTTAAATAATCACAGTGCAATTTTGCAAAATCAAAAAATTAACACTGAGAAAATGCTATCATCTCATCGATTATCCCCAAAATGTCCAAGATCATGCTTTGCATTCCATTGTCTTAGGATACTTTCACAACCAGGTTTCAACTCTCCTAAGAAACTTTACACTCTTTTAAAACTATTTCTTAGTGATTCTCTTCCTTTGTTAACTGCAGTTACTTCCCTCTTACTTTTATTCGTTGCTGTGGTTCTTTCTGTATTTGTGAAGTTTCATTTTCCTCTGCTGATACTACTGTTTAGCATGAAGAACTTCCTTAAGCATTTTTTTAGAGAAGTTCTGTCTACAGTGGATTATCTTCGTTTCCTTTATCTGAAAATGCCTTAATTTTTCTTTCATTTCTGAAGGATATTTTCACTAGATATAGAATCCTGGATTGACAGTCCTTCCCCCACCCCACCCCACCGCAGCACATTAAAGATGTTACTCAGCCCGGCTGGGCGCGGCTCAGGGGTTGAGCGTTGACCTAGGATCCAGGCGACCGGGGTTCGATTCCCCGTCAGGGCACATGCCCGGGTTGCGGGCTCGATCCCCAGNTGGCCGGGCGCGGCTCAGGCTTGAGCGTTGACCTAGGATCCAGGCGACCGGGGTTCGATTCCCCGTCAGGGCACATGCCCGGGTTGCGGGCTCGATCCCCAGTAGGGGGCGTGCGGGAGGCAGCCGATCAACGACTCTCATCATTGATGTTTCCATCTCTCTATCTCTTTGAAATTAATAAAGATATATNGCGACCGGGGTTCGATTCCCCGTCAGGGCACATGCCCGGGTTGCGGGCTCAATCCCCAGTAGGAGGCGTGCGGGAGGCAGCAGATCAATGACTCTCATCATTGATGTTTCTCTCTCCCTCTCCTTTCCTCTCTCTGAAGTCAATAAAGACATATTAAAAAAAGAAAAAAAAGAAAAAAGAAAAAGATGTTACACAACCTTCTTGTAGCTTCTTTGGTTTCTGACAAGAAATCTGCAGTCAAATTGGTGTTCCAATATGTAGGTTGTTTTTCTCTGGCTGCTCTAGAGATTTTTTCCCCTTTACCTTTGATTTTGTAGCTTGATTATGATGCGTTCAGGCATGATTTCTTTGAGTTTATCTTGTTTGGGATTCCTTAAGCTTCTTGACTATATAAGTATATGTCTTGCCCGGCTGGCGTTGCTCAGTGGTTGAGCGTCGACCTAGGATCCAGGAGATCGCAGTTTGATTCCCGGTCAGGGCACATGCCCGGGTTGGGGCTCGATCCCCAGTGGGGGACGTGCAGGAGGCAGCCGATCAATGACTCTCTCATCATTGATGTTTCTCTCTCTCCCTCTCCCTTCCTCTCTCTGAAATCAATAAAGATATATAATAAATTTTAAAAATCACCTTTAAATATATGTCGTCACCAAATTTTCAGCCTTATTTCTTTAAAAAATTTTTTTTCACCAAACTCTTTTTCCTCTCCTTCATGGACTCTGGTGGCATGAATAAATGTTAGACCTTTTGGTATGCCACATAGGTCTCTGAGGCTATTACTTTAAAAATCTTTGTTCTTCAGGTTAGATTTCTACTGACTTATTTTCAAATGCATTTTTTTTTCTCTGTCACATCCATTCTGCTATTAAGTCCATCCAGTGATTTAAAAAAATTTAANCAAATGTTAGACCTTTTGATATTGCCACATAGGTCTCTGAGGCTATTCTTTTAAAAATCTTTGTTCTTCACGTTAGATTTCTACTGATTTATTTTCAAATGCATTTTTTTTTTTCTCTGCCACATCCATTCTGCTATTGAGTCCATCCAGTGATTTAAAAAAATTTAGATGTTGGATTTTCAGCTCTAAAGTTTCCATTTTGTTCACTTTATAGAGCTTCTATTTCTCTACTGAAAATGTCTCCCTTTCCGTTGATGTGAAAATGATTATGATAATTGGTTTAAAATATCTTTCTGATAATTCCATTTGTTGTCACTTGCTGATTTTCCTTTCTCTGCAGAATGGATTCTATTTCCTCAGATCTTGGTATATTGANAAGTTTCCATTTTGTTCATTTTATAGGGCTTCTATTTCTCTACTGAAAATGTCTCCCTTTCCGTTTATGTGAAAATGATTATGATAATTGGTTTAAAATATCTTTCTGATAATTCCATTTGTTGTCACTTGCTGATTTTCCTTTCTCTGCAGAATGGATTCTATTTCCTCAGATCTTGGTATATTGAGTAATTTTGGATTGTAGCCTGGATATTTAAGATACTGTGTTGTGAGACTCTGGTTTCTGTTAAAAATTCTCTGGCAGACGTTGATTTTCTCTCTGTTTTAGCAGCCAGTTGTGCCGGTCGAGTGGCCATCACAAGCTGTGCCTGGCTGTGTGTGGGTGGCCCCGTCGGGTCAGGGGTCAGAGCCTCTCCTCGCTGTCGCACGTCCCCGGTTCCCGCGTCCCTCGGGTTATTCTGGAACATGCGTGCTGTGGAGGGCGTAGCTTTGTTTCGAAGCCTTCGCTCTGCTTCTCAGGTGTGTGCACACGGTGCGCTGCTGGAGCCTGTGCCAGTTCACGCGCAGAGCCAGGGACCTCCGTCCCCACGCTCCCCTCTTAGTGCCCCCCACGCCGGGGGCCCTTTTCCAGGCTCTGGGGAGAGAGCTGAGCCCCCTGTACTATTGTGATGTCCCTGCAACAGGCTGCCTTTGGAACAAAGGTGAAGAGAGGGAGGAGAAAATAATGGGCATTCCCTCCGGGGCGCCTCTTGTGGCCGGTGCGCGGTCCCTAGTCCCTCCATCTGGCGGGGGCCCTCCCTGGGGTCGTAGGCCCGTGCACTGCGGCCTGGCCTCTCAGCACCCAGGTGAGAGCCGGGCGGGGGGCTGGCCTGGGGCAGGGCCAGGGCAGCAGATGGACAGGGGTGGGGGGGTGATTTTGTTATTGGTAATGTATCGGTGTTTGACAGTGAATGGGCAGCCAGTTCAATCAAGTCGTCCTTCCTTCCTGTTCCCCACCGGCAGCGGCTGTCATTCCCTGAACAAGCAGAAATGAGTCACTGCCCACCACAGGGTGCTTTGGGGAGACTGATTTTGGTTCCAGACTCTTTAGGTCTTGATAGCTTTTGGGGTAGTTAAGGCCTTACCCTCGCAGTGTGCCTACCCTAAGGCAGGACGGCACTGGGATCCGCAGCGTTAGGGACACGAGTCTGCGGGAAAGGGGGGGGAGGGGAGGGGCGCTGAAAGTCACAAAACCCAGCTCAACACGGCAGGCGAAAGGGGGCGACAATAAATGCAGGCACCTCTGAAAACTCCCCCAGCACCCATGGGCCCTGCCACCTGCCACGCGCCCTGGCTGCATCATTCCTGACAACGTCGCCACCACCCTTCAGGACCCCTGTCTCCAAGCCCCCCCATCACACAAACTCTGCCACGTTTAATCTCCAGTGTCCTTTGGGCTGCTGCTCGCCGTGTTCTTTCCTCAGCCGTCGCCCCATTTGACATCTGTATAGTGACCGTACCTGAAACTCTTCCACCAAGTTACAGAAAGTGACTCCCGGAATGATGGACACTCTGAAGTGAAAAAGCTCAGAGCCCTGTGGAAAAAACATACCAGGTCCTTAGCAGCACCGACACGTGTGTTCCTTTAAGTGCAAATATACACGGGGCCACTTTCCCCATAGATGCTGCGTGAAAAATTCCAACCCCCAGCAGCTCTGGGTGTTTCCTGCATTTTTCAAAGTAAAAATGGAGAGAGAAGGACAGGAGTCTGAAACAGGGATTCCATGGCTGCTACTGCACTGGACCTCTAGAATGAAGAATCAGAAACATGAACCCTGACATGGCCTTGAGGTAAACGCTGGGCTGGTCCCCGTGCTCATGGTTTTGATGTCACCCAACGTTTATTGGTTTTCTCAGCAACTACCTAGATGACATCAACCTCACACGCTCCGGTGGGCAGCTGGAACCAGGAGCCTGTCTGTGTGTATGCAGGCGAGGGATACCAAGCCCATTTCCCCCTAACTTTTGGAAACAGCCTTTCTGCCCCACTTGATAGATACTGTATTGTTCTTGCTTATAAGCTCAAAAAATCCTAAGTTAATACTAAAGCCAACTTTCAAATATCTTTAGAAATAATAACATGGAAGGAAATGGAAGACAAACACTCTCCTTATACTTTAAGGATGCTGTTGCCACCATTCATGGACACTTAAACTTTAAATTAAAACCAATCTTAGTTTAGACATATATATTTTTAAAAATTTTGTTATAATTTTTGTTTATTGATTGGTTTTTTTAAAGAGAGATGGAAGGGAGAGAGAGGGAGGGAGGGAAAGAGAAAATGAGGGGGGAGAGAGAGAGGAAACAGAAACATCGATTTGCTGTTCCACTTATTTATGCATTCATTGGTTGATTCTTGTATGTGCCCTGACCAAGGATGGAACCTGCAGCCTTGGTGTATTGGGATGATGCCCTAGCCAACCGAGCTACCTGGCCCGGATAGACATGTACATTTTATCTCAACTCAGACACGTGTGAGGAAAAACCAAAATTCTGCCAACTTACCTTTATGCTTAAGTTGAGGCCTGAAGGATTATATACTGGAACATGAAGAATAGATTCTAAGTAATCTTTCAGTTTTTGCACACTTTCTGGTACATTGTGTTCTAAAAGTACATGAAGTATATTTTAAGCACATGTATACTATTTTCTCATTTTTTATAAAACTTGTCCCATACATTAAGGCACAATGAAAGACTATGCATGAATCTTGACATGACTAAACCACTCCATGACATGACTAAACTATGCTATACTTTCAGTTCTCCTTGACTTTGTGGAGATAAATTTAGGGGAGAGTAGGCCCCGTATTCACATTGCGTTCCCAGGGGCATCATCAAAAAGGGCAAGGCTCTGAGCACCCTAATTCAGGCTGGCCTTTCCTTCCAGCTCCATGCTCATGACCAGTCCTGACCTGCACAAACCTTGTGTCTTTGCCAATGAGATAATTTCAGGATCACCTTCGTGGTTGGTAAGTGATTTTAAATAAGGTGGCTGAAAATTTTCACAATAGGCTCACTGAAACCTTTCCCCAAAAATGTTATGAGTTACTCCTGCCTTTCTTATCATTCTTTGTGCTATAATGGTATACAAAATCTAAAGAGAGAAAAAAGCTGATTGTAGCATTTGCCAATTTCCATGGTGTAAATACCCTCACCACAGCTAATTTCAAACTATCAATGGTTTAACAACCAACATTCAAAATGCTTGTAGGTTTAAAAATCAGTACTCAAAAGCCAGTAACAGCAGGCTCCAGCATACTACAGAAAATGGGATGTTAGTTAAAGCAAAACATTTAGTTTTCTTTACTGATTTCTCATTCCAAAAATGCATATGTTGGGCAGAGTAAGACTCACTGAATATCGAAAGTCTGGATATTTGGTAACATTAATGACTGATCAAATTTTCATTTAATTCTATCAATCTATATGACTATTGATCGTCTTAAAGTATTCATGCATAAACAAACGCAAAACATGCAACAAAACACTACATATTTGAGGTGAAATTGAATTGTAGAAGTTTTCATTATTCTTCTTCAAAAATATTTCTGCATCTTTTCAATTATTTTACCATAAAATCTTTAAGAAATGTCCTCATATAATTAGAAGATAAATCCAGTAGATTATCTGGCAACACCTCTTGTAGCCTCCTCTGTAACACTGCATAAGCAGTGAAAGGAGACGCTTAGGCCAATCATTTTTGCTACTAATCTACAAGAGAGCTTTCAAATATTTTACAGTTCAAATTCTTCAAAAATGCTTTTATGCCTTAGAATCCAGGTCACAGGAAGTGGCGATGAAATAAGTGGGAGATAACAGAAGTGGGATGAACAGCAATGTATCAAGTGATCCAGATTCTTTTCCAAAGAACTCCTGGCTGCCTCTCGTGCAGTTCTTGCAAACCACTTATCTAGGTGATAATAATATCCTTTATAAGATAAAATAAGTATAGAAAAAAAGCAAATCCTACTAATTTCCCAGTGTTTCCTCTGATTCACTTCTATCACAGTAACCAGATACGGAGATTTCATTGGGGTACGTCCATCCTCACTGTGAATTTCCAGAGAAATTGGATATTGTCTAACTGGAAACTTAAAACGAGGAACCTAAAATACAAATTCCAACAATGAATGTAAATTTGGAAAATTCAATACTAACTTGATTTCCTGGTAAAGAAAGCATAGCTACATTCCCAAGAGTTTGGCTACGCTAAATGAAGTGGGCTTCTTACTGTCAAACAGCAGAGTCCATGTAAACTCCAAAAGTAATATAAAAACATTGTGGGAACAAAATTTGTAATTTTCCACAGGCCTTTTTCACAGGTCTTGACTAAGAGGACATGCAAATTTTCTTGGCTAACCTATATCCCATAAGGCACTGCATGACCTGGATCCTGTGTGGCTCCCTCACAGCTCCCTCCTCGCCGGTCATGATCTTTCAGCCACACTTTTTAAACTCAGGCTCTGGAGTCAGAGTTCGAATCTAACTCCATCACTTATGAATGATGTGATCTTTGGCAAGTTACCTGGCTTTGCTGTGCCTCAATGAAATCTTGGAGACAGCTTAGAGCAGTGTTTCACAGATAGTAAATGCTCAAGAAATACTGTAATTCAGCAAGGGGAGTGCTGAAGACCTATGTAATAACAACCCTCATCATTTATTGACTGTGATTATGCCCAATATTATATTAAGTGATGTAAAGATAAAATCACTTAATATAATGCTACATATTATATTACAGATGGAAATAAGATCACTTAATAGAATGCTGCATATAGTCTTACAAGGCATTTGAAGTAGATCTACTTGAAAGTATTGCCAAGTACGCGTTTAACTTAGCTAATGCAAACAGCAACATGAACTTGACACACCTTTGAAGCTTTCAGACTAACAGAAGGAAATATTTGACACAACCTGTCCTTTTCACCAACATCTTATCCTGTCTTCTATTCTGTCACCACCAGACTAAGCTTCTTGATAACATGGATTTCAACTTCTCCCAGAACCTCATATACATTAAATACTAAATATTTTTGAGTGAATCAATATTCACCACAATGTAGTGGGGTGCTTGACAAGTTGCAAATTGTTTTCGTACAATATGAGTGGGTATCTTTATAAGAACCTGTGACATGGACAGGGCAGTGCAGCTGTTATGCTAGTTCACAGATGATGTCGTTAACGTGTCTGGAGACATCGAAATCCAGATCTTTTTAGCTCTGTATCATATTTAATTCTATGCCATAAAAAGATGTTATTTCTATGTCTTAGTGTTCATATTTAACCAAAATGCACATTTCAAAATCTACTTAATACGAAAGGACTCTGTCTTCGGGTAATTACAAGTTATCTTACCTTTTCTCTGCAGTCTGAGAAAGCGACAGCATATGAAAACTTCTGATCATTTGTGCAGTTACACTCCTCCCGAGTAGACACATGAGCACACTGTTTGAATTTACCAGCTTTCTGCAAATGGAAGTAATAAAGGTTGACTTGTTCTTTCCTGTGGCAGGATTTCTACAAACTGAGTAAACCTTCAATAAATATTTGTTCCCTGAGTAAATAAAATCCCCAAGAAAGGGGAAAAAGTCCAATAATAATAAGTATTTCTGAATTTTGTCTCCTTGCTTTGTCATTTGAACCCAAGCATCACCCAGCTGCTTGCCAGTAATAAAATGTGACAGCTACCCTAGCGGGTGTGAAGCGGCATCTCATGGTGGTTTGGATCAGCATTGCCCTAATAACTAATACTGCTGGGCAAGGTCACCGAGCCGTCCCCCTCCCTGCCTTTGTGCCGGCCGCTCCTCCCCCGGGAATGCTCTTCGGGTCCCCTTTACCCTCCGCATCCTCCCCTGTCCTCCCTTGCTTGGTGAACCTCCACTCATCTTCGGTCTGACTCCCTTGGGCTAAGCTAGGCATCCCTGCTCCACTGTTATATTGTGCGTTTGTGTCTGTCTCCACTACACGTCTATCTGAAACCTTAGGGTGAGTGAGGATCAACTGGGAGATTTTTTAAAAATCCAGATTTCAGGACGACACCCCATAGTTCCTGATTTAGCAGCCATGAGGTGTAAATGAGAAAGCTGCACTGCAGAAATATCCCCAGATAATTCTGGTTCAGGTTGTGCAGGGCCGTGCTGTTCGCAAACACTGCACGGGCTAATAACGCCATTTAGCTGGTATGACTTTTTAAGGCCTGTTCTCCCCCATTAGAGTGAAGATCCATGAAGGCAGCGTGTTTATCATGTTCCTTGCTGTGTCCTCAGAGAATGTCTGTGCAGCGCCCGATTACACTGGAAATGCTGAAATGAACATTTGTTGAATTTCGAAAGATGCATAAGAACCTCTTATCTACGTAGGTGGATATTAGATACATTTCCTAGTCAACTCTCCCCCAAAAAACTGGGGCAAAAAACTAAACTAAGGATTTCCATGTAAATATAGTAAAGTCACATTTGAATAGAGGAGGCTTGGCTCTAGTGACACAACAAGGTTTAGCTTTATGAAAAACTGGAATTGAAGAACTTAGTATTATAGTTGCTCATTGCTTGGAGGAAGCAGAGCTTCTTATTTTGAAATCCAAGATTCAACAACAAGGCAACCTCCTCATGCTGTGTGTGTGTGTGTGTGTGTGCATGTGTATGTGTGTGTGTAACAATATGTGTGTAAATGTGCATCCTTAGTTTGTTCAACAATTTTAAGCATTCCCCATGCCTGACATTCTTCTTGGTACTAAAGAAACAGTAGAGAACAAAACAGATTAAAAAACAACAACAGCAACTCTGCCTTATGTAGCTTACCATTTTATGAAATACAATAAATAAATAAGTAAAATTGTAATAAGGGCAATGAGGAAAAATCAGGCAGGGAAAGGGGTGTGGGTGGGTAACTGTGGAGGTGGGAATTACAATTCTAAATAGAGTGGTTAAGGAAGGCCTCACAATGAATGTAACATTTAAGCAAAAAACTAAGAATGGTGACAGAATGTGCCTGTCGTGTCTGGCAGAAGAGCATTCCAGACAGACGAGTTGTTTGAAGCTGCAAAGGCCTGAGTTAGAAATATATCTGGCATATTTGAAGAACAGTAAGGAGGCCAGTGTGGCCAGAGCAGACCGACCTGGGGAAGATCAGGTCAGATGTAATGCCAAGGCCAAATCACGGGAGGCCTTATAAACCACTGTAAGGATCTGGCTTTTCCTCTGTGACGTGGGAAGACAACGGAGAGTTTTAAGCAAAAGAAATAATTTTATGTCATTGTGTGTGGTCATGAATAGATATGAATGTCTGTTTCTATGTGTATGTTGGCAGGTAGGTGCACTTTTCTGGAGAGAGATTCCACAGGCACCTATGACATTTCATCAAGAAGCCACGTAATGTACTTTCACTCTGTTGTCCACCTGGTTCACTCCACACTCCAGAGAGGCAGAGTGCTGCTGGGTTATTTTCTAGGCAGGACCTTGCGAGGAGTTTAAATGTACTTATGTTGGAGCAAACGCTCTTCTTTCCTTTTGGACACTATTCTTTCCCCAGGGATGGAGATGTGAGATGGGTCTGGGGGCTCTTTTCATTTGAGAAAAGATGCTTTCACCCATTTGTCCCATTTGAAATCCAAATGGGAGCCAGGGAGAGGGCAGGGGTAAAGGGTCCATTTAGACTCCTTGATTCCAAAACCTTAGCTAGGAGTAGCAGTAAAATAAGAGGAACTAAAGTAGTAATAGGAAAATGGGTAGCAGTAGTAGTAGTAATCATCATCACCATCATCACCACCAGCAGTATCACCATCACCACCACCACCACCACCACCACCATCACCATCACCATCACCGTCACCACCCATCACTACCACCATCACTACCATCACCACCAGCATTAACACCATCACTACCACCATCACCATCACCATCACCATCACCGTCACCACCTATCACCACCACCCATCACCACCACCATCACTACCATCACCACCAGCATTAACACCATCACTACCACCACCATCATCACCATCACCACCACCATCATCACCATCACCACCCACCACCACCACCACCGTCATCATCACCACCACCAAGGGCAGATAGAGCACTGTACTAAATGCACCTTCTCATTTAATCCCTACGACTATGTTAAATTGTAATTTTACTCAATGATTTCTTGAATTCAAGTAAATACTAGTTTCACTGTAGAAAAATTATTACCTTTGACTTGTGAAAGAGATTTCTTGGTATGGGTTTGCTGGGGTCTGCATGATAAAAATTATCTGTAAGTGGAATGGCAATTCCCATATTAGATGGAGGCCTGTAGTTTACCTGCAGGTGATTAAACAAAGAAAATGTATAATTCATTATTTACTATGTCTTCAATTTAAATATCTTGACTTTCTAGAAAAGCATGCAAAGCAAATAATATGTTTTTAGCGCCAGATAGTAAATTTCTATTCACCCTACCCTCTCAACCCAGTATTTTCTGGAATTTCAACAACCTCAATCCAGAGTAATGAATAGGTGAAAAAGTCTTTAGCACCTAAAATAGTGGCCATAAAGTCAATGCAAAAAAGTTGAAACACCTTATAGAAAGTCTTAGTGATGTATTTAGTAAATAATTCCTCAAGTTTGGTTATTTGTTTTTTTGTCACAGAAAATTATAAGTAATAAGTTAGCAGAGTAATAATTTATAATTTAAAAAGAGTCAGATTATGACAAGGCAAAAATTTAAGTTGTTACTATATGGAAATGGAGGCAGTTATATATATATAGGCTCAGGACAGGTCAACACAAGGGCAAATAACTTCATATATTACAAAAGCCTAAGATTATGCCACCATTAATATACATAAATGATATTAATAATGATGAAACTAAGTTACCAAGAAAAATCATTATTTCAGAAAGTTTTTACATTTTAGAAATAAATCATCGTGACATCCTTGAACTGACATGAGGACTGAAAAATAGCGAGTGTTTTGAGCATCTCAGGAGAGAAATGCTAAGATCAAATGGCTTGCCAAGCACGCAAAAGTAATATACCCCTGGGGCCCTTAAAACGATCTGCTTAGGTGTGTGTGTTTGTTTTTACCGGCAAAGTTTTGATCATGTTAAAACCCTGACTGTCCTTGTGAACTCCACGGATCCAGTCTTCCATGGGGATAAATTTACTAGGAGTGTGATGCAGAGACTTGAGATAACTGCAGCTGCTTTTCAACATTGGCACGAATGTGGTGGCGAAGCAGTCCGTCGATGCTTCCAGGATAACGAATGCCAGTGAGGTTGAACCCTGGAGACATCCAAATCAATGAAGGTTATTTGAAGTAACCGTTGTAGGGTGCGCTGTGTCCGCTCAAAATTCACATGCTGATGTCTGAACCCCTGGTATCTCAGAATGTGACTGCATCTGGAGACAGGGCCTTTAAAGCGGTACCTGAGTTAAAATGAGGTGAGTAGGGAGGGTCCTAATTCCATAGGACGGGGATCCCTTTAAAAAGGGGAAATGGGCACGGAGACACCACAGAGAGAAGGTAACGTGAAGACGGGGAAGGGCGAGGAAAGAGGCCTGAGAAGAAACCAGGCCTGCTGGCGCCTTGATCTTGGACTTCTAGCCTCTAGAACTACGAGAAAATCAATTTCTGTTGTTCGAGCCACTCAGTTTGTGGTATTTTGTTATGGCAGCTCTAGCAAAAGAACACAGTAAACAACTAAAGAATATAGAAAAAGAAATAGAAAAAGAGCAATAATAGAAAACAGAAATAGAGTGATGGGTATGACATAATGATCTGTTTGAGAATAAATCGTAACAGAACACACATTCTTTTCCAGGAAGGAATACATTCCAATCTTACAGGATATGGACTTTTAAAAATAAGCAAGAATCAGGAAGGACTTACTAATAAACGCCATAGTCACACCCAACTCACACTGATGGGGCTTCCCCCACTCGCCGATGAGCACCTGGATATTTACTTTGATGATATGAATAAAATAACTCATGTTGGTACACGCTTTGAAAAAAAGTTATTCCCTTAGCAATCACTGAATTTCACAAAGATCTGCTTTTAGTAGGAATTTATGCATGATAAATGTATTTGAGCCTAGAACAGCGTTAAACATTCAACAAAATCTGATAAATTCTGCTTGAAATTTTAAAGTATTTTAGGAATTTTAAGAATGTAGAAACAGTAATAACTCTAGTGGTATAGTAAACTCTGGCAGTGGTAGTTTTAATCCCATCCCCATATCCGATAGCCACTAAAAAGGATGCATTTTTAATGAATTTTTGCCAAAACACATTGAACCAGAATGTAAGCAAAGTTATACTATTAAAGGCGATTTGGGGGTGGGGGAAGCATAAATTAAATAAGAGACAAGAAAGCCAAGAGGAAAAGCCAGAATGTTGGATATTCTATAACACAGCTCACCCGGTTTCTACAGTCCAGCGGCGGGAAGGAAAGGAAACAGTACCTGTCACCCAAAAGAGACTTAAGGGATGAAATAATTACATGCTGTGTGATCCGTTTGGATCCCAATTCAAACAAACCAACTATCAAACTTTTTGAGAAAATCGGGGAAATTTGATCATAGACTGAGTTTTACAGGACTTACGGGTTTTAAACCCAAAATTTAGATAAAAATGTTTTCGAAATGACAATGGCATTGGGATTATGTGCGATAACCCCCAGGTTTTTAAAGATTATCTGGATGCGTAGAGGAGTAAACTGGCATGTTTGCTAGTTGCTGGAAAACACCAGAATAGAAACAAAAAACTAAATGGGGGTGATAAAGCAGAAGCAGCGAAAGCTTCACTATTGTTTGAGTGTGAGAGATACGTGGAAATTCTACTTTTGTCCACACCTTAAAATTTTCATGATAAAAAGCTTTGTAGAAAAGAATGTATTGACTTAAAAGGACTAAAACATATAGTTAAGTGGGAGAAGCAAAAAAAAAATTTTTTTTAATCATCCCTCGAGGGTATTTTCTCCATTGCTTTTCAGAGAGAATGGAGGGGGAGGGGGGGGAGAGAGAAACATCGATGACATCAGCCGGTTGCCTCCTGCCAACACTCTAACCACTGAGCAGAAACGGCTGGGGTAGGAGCCACATTTTTCAAGTGCATATATAGGAAAAATATAGGAAAATAGTGATTGAGCATTTTTGATGTTTTAGATGCCCTGCTTGAATGATCACATTTAATTCTCAAAATAGCCTTATGAGGTAGGTACTATTCTATCATCTCCATTTTATAGATAAGGCAACTTAACCACAGCCAAGTAACTTTCCCAAGTTCACATAGAAAGTACCAGAAATGAGATCTAACTCAGGTAGTCTTTTCCAGAGCTCACTCTTTTAACCCTTAACCCTAACCCTTCTTTTCCTTAGCTTACATTCTAAATTTTCTATAACTAATAGATTTGTTTTGTAATGAAAGAGAATCTTACTTGAAGTAAAATTTTGCTAGTTATAGAAGCTTCCAGTAGGTAACTATCAGTATCATCAAAAGTGCCTTCAACTTTAACTTCTAACAAATTTGGGTTTCCAACAATTACTTTCAGTAGTGGTGCTTTAAGTATTCGAACACCTATAGGAACAAGGCTAACGGTTAATATTAGATCACAAATATTTTAAACAATTTATTGATTGGGTAATCGGGATTCTAGATCATCTATTCTGAAGACTACATAATGCCTGCGAATACAGTTAGGAATTTATATAGAGTTAACTTTAATAGTCATTAGAAAAATTTAACTTTGCAAATATTTTCCCCATATTTCTCACAGAAATATTGCTCTGCTCCACCCCTAACTCCTCAACCCGGTTCTTAAGTGCATAGAAAGATCATTTAGTTACTACTGGTCACGCTGGGTTAGAAAACTTGGTAGAGAAACTGAAGGGTAGAGATTAATGAATCATATGGTGGTTCTATTTTTAATTTTTTGAGGAACTTCCATACTGTTTTCCACAGTGGCCAAACCAATTTACATCCCTACTAACAGCACACAAGGGTTCCCTTTCCTCCGCACCTTCACCAACATTTACCATCTCTGTCTTTTTGATGATGCCCATTCTAACTGCTGGGAGATGCCATCTCATTGCGGTTTGGATTTGCATCTCTCTGAGGGCTAGAAATGTGGAACACCTTTTCATGCACCTGTGAGCCATTTTTGGCTTTTTTGGGAAAATGTCTATTCAGGTCCTTTGCCCATTTTTAAATTGAATTATTTGGGCTTTTTCTACTATTCAAAGTTCCATATATTTTTTTATATATTAACTCCTTATCAGGTACATGGTTTACAAATATTTTCTCCCATTCCATAGAGTGCCTTTTTATTTTGTTGATTGTTGTTTCATTTTTTCATTTTTTGCTGTGCAGAAGCTTTTTAGTTGGATGTAGTCCCACTTGTTTACTTTTGCTTTTGTTGCTTGTACTTTGGGTCCCATTTCAAAAAAAAAAAATCACTGCCAAAACCAATGTCAAGGAGCTTTCCCCCTATGTTTTCTTCCAGGAATTTTATGCTTTCAAGTCTTACATTTAGTCTTTAATCCATTTTGCATCAGTTTTTGTGACTGATATAAGCGTCCAGTTTCATTCATGTGACTAGGCAGTTTTGCCAGCACCATTTAATAAAGAGACTATTCTTTCCCTATTGTATGTTCTTGGCTCTCTTGTCAAAGACTAGCTGATGAGATATGCATGGGTTTATTTCTGGACTCTATTCTGTTCCATTGGTCTGTCTGTCTTCATGGCGGAATGTTTTGATTAACATAGCTTTGTAATATAGTTTGAAATCAGAAAGTGTGATGCCTCCAGCTTTGATCTTTCTCAAGATTGCTTCAGCTATTCAGGGTCTTCAATGTGATACACAACGTTAACAGAATAAAAATTATAGATCATCTCAATAGACGCAGAAAAGGCACTGGACAAAATTCAACATCCATGCAAGATAAAAAAACAAAACCTGTCAACAAATTAGNATCTTTCTCAAGATTTCTTCAGCTATTCAGGGTCTTCAATGTGATACACAACGTTAACAGAATAAAAATTATAGATCATCTCAATAGACGCAGAAAAGGCACTGGACAAAATTCAACATCCATGCAAGATAAAAAAACAAAACCTGTCAACAAATTAGGTATATAAGGAATGTACCTCAACAAATAAAGGTCATAAATGATAAGCCCATTCATCATACTCAAAGCTTAAAGCTTTTCTTCTCAGATCAGGAACAAGACAAGGATACCCACTCTTGTCACTTCTATTCAACACAGAACAGGAAGTTCTGCCCAGAGCAATTAGGCAAGAAAAAGAAGTAAAAGGTATCCAAATCAGAAAAGAAGTAGCATTGCCTCTGTGTGCAGATGACAGGATCTTATATATAGGAAACCCTAATGACGTCCCCCAAAAAGTGTTAGAATAAACAAGTTCAGTAAAATGCCAGGATACGAAATCAAAACACAAGTATCAGTTGCATTTCTATACACTAACAATGAACTATCTGAAAGAGAAATTAAGAAAGCAATCCCATTTATAATAACATCAAAAAGAATAAAATACCTAGGAATAAGTTTAAACAGGAGGTGAAAGACCTGCACGTACCTGGGTTTCAGGCTCGATCCCCAGTAGGGGGCGTGCAGGAGGCAGCCTCTCAATGACTCTCATCATTGATGTTTTTCTCTCTCTCCCTCTCCCTTCCTCTCTCTGAAATCAATAAAAACATAATTTAAAAAATAAAATAATTAAAAACTATAAGACATCAGTGAAAGACATTGAAGGAGACACAGTAAGTGGAAAGCTATCCCGCTGTGATGTCGTGATTTATAGTAGGAAATATATATTTAGTCTTCTGTTCCATTTCTGGCAGAGAGCCCTTAAAACCCTTGGGAATTCCTAAGTGATGAGAACAACACAGCTGCCTTTTGTTATGTTAATAAGATGACTTTTGGATCACACCTGGGGATGGGAGAACCAACCACCTGATTAGAGGATTGGAATTTTCAGTCCCTGGCCCCACCCCAGACCCAGGATAGATCAATTCTACGGCCAAAGAGTTCATCAATTATGCTTATGTAATTGAGCCTCCATAAAAATCCAAAAGGACAGGATTCAGAGTTTCCGGGTTGGTGAACAGCCGGAGGTGCTGGGAGAGTAGCGGGGCCTGAAGAGGGCGTAGGAATTCTTCACCCTTTCCCCTATGCATTGCTTCCATCTGGATGTTCACCATCTGGATGTATCCTTTATCACATGCTTTTATAATAAACTGGAAATCCAGTAAGCAGAATGTTTCTTTGAGTTCTGTGAGCTGCTCTAGCAAATTAATCGAACCCGAGGAGGAGGTCTGGAGAACCTCCAACCGGTAGCCAGTGGGTCAGAAGCACAATGGGGGCCTTGCGGTTGGTATCTGAAGTTGGGTGGGGCAGTTTTACGGGACTGAGCCCTTGTCAGATCTGATGCTATCTTTGGAAAGACAGTGTCAGAACTGAGTTAAATTGTAGGACAGCCAGCTGGTGTCCCGAGCATTGTTTGTTGGTGTGGGGAATACCCACCTCATTGAAATTGGGTCCAAGAGCCCCTTTACGTGTGTTTAAGGATACAAGTATTAATATTGTTAAATTGTCTATACTACCTAAAGCAGCCTACAGAGTCAATGCAATACCTACCAAACTCCTATGGATTTTTTTCACAGAAATAGGAAAAACCACCCCAAAATTCATATGGAACCACAAAAGACTCCGAATTTCTAATAAGCACCCAGGTGACGCTAATGCAGCTGGTTCAGGGACGACACATTGAGTGACAGGGACTAGACTTTTCTTCACAAGGCAGCTGAATTAATTTGCTGATTACTATCTGCTTCCATCAAATTCAATGAGTAAAACTGATTGAACCATTTAACAGCAATTTGGTATATTTTAAAGCAAAAATAATTAGAACACTGTGGGATTGGGCCAGAATATAAAGAGATAATAAAGGAAGAGATTTTAAAATCTAGGAATGGTAAAAAAAAAAAAAAAAAAAAAAAGGTAAATTATATATTAAGATAAAGTTGTATTTTGAAATCAGTGAAGAAAAGACACATTATTTAATAAGTGATGTTGGAAAAACAAACCAACCACTTGCAATACACCAAAACAAATCTAGACAAATTAGTGAATTAAATGGAAAGTTAAAGCCATAAAATTAAAACTCTAAAATTCCTTGAAGGAAATATGGACAATCGTATTATAACCAATGAGAAAGCATTCTAGGGGTTTCACAAAGAGGATTTTTCAGGATATTTAGTGCACAGAATGAAGAAAATAGAAATAGAT